TTACATTCGGAAATTCCTTCCAACCCTAACTGTGAATTGAGAAAAAAATAAATCGCACTAGCAACTTAGCATTTATATGCGCTGTCATATTATACACTCGGGGCGTACTGTTCTTATCTTACTATACTGGGAGCTATATAATCGCAATAAAAAGACTCACTTGTTTGTAAATATGTAAGAACGTGTAATTTCACTTTATATTTCTCGTTGTAGCATAAGAGTGGTAGAAATCGCTTTATAATAAATATTTTGTAGTAGTTTGGACTTAAATAATAGCGTAACGATTTAAACATTTTCTTTTAAGACGATTCAAGATTGTTTACGCGCTCGAATTTATATAAACTTGATGTTGAAAGAAAAAGGATTAGATGTTCATGTTCAATCAAAACTGCATTAATTTGAGTTGAATGAGTAAGTAATTGTGCTCCTTATTTCGATATTTACACCTTCACCGAAGATAAGTTTTGTCTTCAAAATTGTTTACCTAACGTAATTGCGTAATTCCTTTTTAGCGCATTTCCACAAAAATAAAAAAAAATGCGCTATTGTGGCCACTTTGTCCGTCCGTCCGTCCGGCTGTCCGTCCGTCCGTCCGTCCGTCCGTCCGCTAACTTTGCGACGCTACTAGTTCTTTATCTTAAGAGCTATTGTTCTACTTTTTTCGCTATTTGGTTCGTTAAGGTGTCGAGTCTTGTACCAAGGAAGGAATTTTTTCTGTACCGCTTACAAAAAAAGTTATTGTAAAAAAACAAAAAACCGTTTTTTACATGTTCCATAATTTTACACTTTTGCCGTTTATTAACGATCCTAGAGATCGTTTATAATTATTTTGCATTGCTATCTGTCGCCTGCCGGTTGGTCTCTCCGTCTGTTCCTTTGTCTGTCTGTCCATCTATCTGTCCGTGTGAACGATAACTTTGTTTAGAAATGTTCGATCGCTTTTACATCTCCGTTAGTTATGAACTGAATTGCATGAAATTCAATATGGGCATAGCTTTAGCCATATAATACGCAATGCCAAAAGTTGAATCGAATCGATTCAAAATTCACAGTGCCCTTTTCGCATCTCGACCATTTATAAACCGAATTGCAAACTTTTTTACTTATAAAAGTATGTGAATGAAATTTGATACATAGGCACTTGGAATAAAGGAAAATCAAACGCCAATTTCAAAATTTGGTTTTGCGCATGCGCAGTGCCAACTTTTTTATTTATGTAAGAATTTAAACGAAATTTGATACATAGGCACTTGGGATAAAGGAAAATCAAACGCCAATTTCAAAATTTGGTTTTGCGCATGCGCAGTGCAAACTTTTTTATTTATGGAAGAATTTAAACGAAATTTGATACATAGGCACTTCGAATAAAGGAAAATCAAACGCCAATTTCAAAATTTGGTTTTGCGCATGCGTAGTGCCAACTTTTTTATTTATGGAAGAATTTAAACGAAATTTGATACATAGGCACTTCGAATAAAGGAAAATCTAGCGCCAAAGATCAAAGAATGTAAAGATACAAAGGGTAGAAAAATAGAAATATGGTCAAAAGAGCAAAGATGAAGAAATAGCAGAAAGTGAAGAGGAGTGGAAAAATATGAGATATTAAGGGTATTAAAAAGACAATAACATGGAAACAGGTAAATTTATTTATTTACTTATTTATTATCCGTCTCTTGTTCTGGGCCTTCAACAGGCTTGTGCACGATTAATTTCATTGATAAATGAAAACGAAGGGAGAGATAAAAGGGAGGCATGGTGGGAAGAAATTGTACAGAAAAGAGAAACTAATACAGAGCATTGATAGAAAAAGAAAGGGAGATATGGAGGAGAAGGAGTTGAGAGAACCGAAAAAAAAGCACAAAAGAAAATGTAAGGTAAAAAAGATGAAGAAGCAGGATATGGAAAAGAGATCGGGGCAATACAAAAAGAGAAGGACCTTTAGAAGATGAAAAAAAAAGAAAACATAATAAGTGGGAGAAAAATAGGAAAAATACAGGTAAAGCAGAAGAAAGAAGGCGTGACAGAGAAAGATGAAAGATAGGAACTGGAAAGAGTGATACAGGGCATTTGTGCTTAAACGGGCATGTAGCGGGAAAGTTTTGGGGTAGTGTTCTTTGATCCTATATGTTTTTTGGGGTGCTGAATCCGAATCTGAGGTTTGCCAACCAAATTTCATGACGCAACATTGAAAAAAATACAAAAGAATTTGAAAAAGATATTTTTTGGCAGTTTTGTGCTTACAACTTGAAAACTATCAACTTTTCGAAAATAACCTTCCTATTCAAAATGAAAGTAAATAAAATTTCCTACAGACCCCACTATTTAGTTTTTTTCCTCAATGAACCTTTCGGGCTCGAGCGCCAATTGAAAATTGGAGTATTTCGGTTGTATCCACAAATACTCATCTTTTATTATTATTTTATTATGATTCTGTGCAAATATAAATCCGTACTTTTCATTATCTACGGGTGTCCTCAAAAAATTTTGTAACTGTTCCGTCTGGTAGAACTCTCCCACTCTTCAGAACACCGGAGTATATATATAATATAATAATATGATATACTGTTGTTCGTTAGAAATTAACTTTTCATACAATTCTGGACTACAATAAACACCTTGAACGTTATGAAAATGAGAAAAACCACCCTTACATATAAAATTCAAATAATAGTAGGTAAATGCAAGCAATTCACTTATTGACAACGCTTAATATTAATTTAGGGTTTTAGTGCGAAAAAACTATGTTTTGTGGAGACAGCCGAAATATGCCAGTTTTCAACTGGCGCTTGAGCCCGAACGGTTTATCGAGGAAAAATCTAAATAGTGGAATCTGTAGGAAATTTTATGTACATTAATTTTGAATGGGAAGGTTATTGTCGAAAAGTTGATAGTTTTCAAGTTGTAAGCACAAAACTGCCAAAAAAATATCTTTTTCTACAACTGTCAAAAAAACCTGTCATTTTCTGACGAATTTCGAAGCGCGAAGTACTAGATTTTTAAACGGTTAATTAATAAGTAAGGTTGCCCTTGCCAACGTGCGCGAAATCGTCAACAGTGAAAAAAAGTATTTCGCGCACGTGACAAAGTTGAACTTAAACAGCAAATTTAATTAACAATCGGTTCAGTTGTAGAAAAAATATTGCATATAACGCTAGCGCGAAGTTATTTCGCGCATTTGACTGATATTTTAACTCGGCTTCGCCTCGTCAAAATACCTTCAGTCTCAATGCGCGAAATTGAACTTCGCGCTCTTGTTATATAAATAACTATTTTCAACTTCTTTTGTATTTTTTCAATGTTGCTTCATGAAATTTTGTTGACAAACCTCAGATTCGGATTCAGCACCCCAAAAAACATATAGAATCAAAGAAATCAAAACTACCCCACAACTTTCCTGGTAAAAATACAATATTCAACTGGATTAGAGTACGAGATATCAAAAGCAGAGATTGGATTGGATGTAGGTATGTACCTACTACACACACTGACTGAATAATGAAATTTTGGTTTTTTTTTTCTTTATTCTAGAAATGAAGATCAATTATTTTAATTAGATGTGGTTTAAATTCCAAACACGTCAGGGTCTAATTTAGAAATTAGCTATTTTGGCATCACCATTTTAAATATTGCGCTAGAATCTCTATAGCTAGCGACACTCTGCGTTCAGCTAGCGCCATTATAGATGCTGCAAAAAGACTTTGACTTTTGGGGGGTGCGGCATCACCATTGCATCCGATCACTTCCAGAAGCAAGCGCTGGGTGTATCAGACCTAGCACCAGGCAAACGCCACAAATTTTGGAGCTAACGCTACCCTCAAATGGTGTAGGGGGAAATTTCTCCTAGTACCACCATTTTGTTCTACTATTGCTAACCTTATTAGAGAGAATCTTCTGGGTGGTACTGGAAAAGTCATTAAAAAGTCTGGATAGGTACTCAACTGAATAATTTTTAAATGGGAACACTCTATTCTCGCGTATTTTGAAAGAAAATGAGATTCTATAGAACCGTTAATTGTACAGGTTGGGGAAAAGGATTTTGTTATTAAAAGAGGACATGAATAATCGCTGGAAATTATTTTCAAGTTTCTAGCTTTGCCGCTAGAGTGCGTATGATTAAGTAGAGAAATCATTTGTTTAAAGATTTTTTATTTATGAACCAAAAGCCTTGCATACAGAAGATACTGTATAAGCAAAGACCACAGGATATTAACTTTTCGGTACCTCTGTTGCCGTGAGCATAGCGGCCCCATTTTGCAAATCGAGTTCGCATACAGGAGGGTTTAAAGAAACGTCGAAAATGACTAAACAAACGTATTGTATACAGAACCATCCATATTTAATAACTATACTTTTTTAATGAGCAATATTTTCGACTGTAACAATGTTATATTATTGATCTGGTTTATTCTAAGTAAAATCAAAGAGTAACTAATAGTATTCTAAAAGGAAAGTGCAATTTTCGTGAAGCAGCTGCGTTGCATGTTTGACTATTTCTTTACCCCTTTTGACATGTACCTGACACTTCGGGCCCTATCTGGTCGAGAAATGCCGATCAGGATACTATAGGCTTTCAGATAAAAATTTGATAACATTGTGTTGTTGAAAATAATTATCCTACGCAACCTATAATGGATAATACTATAATAATTAGCATGTAAGATTTCGTGTTCAATATTGGTAGTTTGATTACCGAGAAAATAAAAACCAAAATGTAATTTTTGCGCAAGGAGCCAGTCTAAAACAATACTACAATGTATAAGCTCTTAATACGTAAGGAGTTTATTGAGACATCATTCGATCGCGTTGGGAACTTACATAATGCGCGACATAATTATCGTCAAAATTCCATTAATCACTTTATTCCGCATATTTCACCTTCATAAAAACCCCAAATTTACTCTTGCTTTTTAACGAGCGATTTTATCGTTTCTTAAGGCAGTAATAGTGGTATATAAATAAGGTACAGAAATTGTTTGGTGTATCAAACAGTTAGTTGTCAATCTAGGAGTACACACAGTAGCTGCAATGATCGCTTTGGTAAATAGTTTGTTTTATTACGTCTAATAGTTTCTTAATGTTTGGTTACATTACAGGTAGTTTTCGTCGTTTGCTTTGCAACCGTTTTTGCAGGAGAACAGCTCGTAGCTGTTTCACAGGACACCTTAGGAAATTACGACCTCAAATACTCCATCGATGGAATTTCAAGGGTTGAACGCGGAGATCTTCATGGAAATGTTAACGGTGGTTTCGCCTACATCGACCCCCATGGCATAGTTAGAAAAACCGAATTTACCTCCGGTGTTCACGGATACAACGCTGTTGGTACCGACATCCCTCTTCCAGTCCACGACACCCCTGAAGTAGCCCACGCCAAGATCAACCATCTTTCCGCCCTCCACGCAGCTTACTTGGCACCTAAGCTTCCGCAATTCCAAGGACCCGAAGAAGGCTTCATCGCTGCTCCTCTTCCTTTAGCCGCCGCCCACATTGCACCCATTGCCAGATTCGCCCACATCCCGTCTACTGTACAGTTCGCTGCGCCAGCCATTCCAGCTCTCCCAGCGATCCATGGACATTTTGGAGTTGGCGAAACACCAGAGGTTTTAGCTGCCCGCGCCGAACATTTCGCAGCACATGCCGCAGCCCGTGCGCAACTCCATCACTAATTAGATCATTGTAATTCATTTCTCTATTTATTGCATAAAATGTCTATTTGTCTATTTGTAAAAATTAAAAATGTGTCCACTAAATTCTACTTACCTCATTTCTCCTATCTTGAGTTTTATAGAAATTCAGCAAAGTTGTCTAGACAGGATACTGCAACTTTCATATTCGGCTATTATTTGTGAATATTTTACATAAAATAAGTTTTCCCGACTTTCACAGGACAGCCGGGTTTCATTCCGACCCAACGACGGGAAGGGTAAATGAAATTGTTTTTGCGCGCACAATTTTGTAAAAATATACTTACGAAAAATGAAAGTGCCTAGATCAAAGCTACGAAAAAAACTTCCTTTCATCGCGATTTTGCTGGGAGATAGTTTCAGATTAATGAGACGCTTTTGGAAAAGGAAAATTGCAACCAAGACACTTATGGAAAATCGTAAAATCGACACAAGTCCGTGTTGCAAATAGGAAAAAATAACATAAAAGTTTACAAGAAAAATAAAAAAAAAGAAACAAGTTGATATTCGCGCGTGCGAAATTGCAACCCTCGAAATCGATATGTAAGACATGGGCTATTTGTCACGACCGTTTGATAAAATACTCTCGCGCCAAAAAGATTGCACTACGGCCTCTTATGGGAATCACTATTTATTGTATATACTGAAATCTAACAAGAGGAGCCTCGCGAGAATAGATTGAAAACATTTTTAACCAAATCCGCTACTTTGCTAGCGAGTATTTTAAAGGTGCGCGTAAAAAAATTCTTTTCAATTGATATAAGTTTCTTCAACAGTTTTCTTTTGCGGTCTTGAAATTATTATTACTTTTTTTATTTTTAAATCATCAGTGCTGTTTCCCCTAAACTAAGGCGAGACGTATTGCTCGTGTTTTTGGACAAACATCGTCACAGAAGCATAAAACGGGTGCATAGAATTGCAAATAAATTTCAGATCACATTTATTTATTTATGAGGAACTTCATTTGACTTCATGAGCAGGTGGTCAAGTCCTAAGGAAAATAATTTTAGTACGTACAGGAATTTGTCCATCCGTTTTCGCGAAGATTCGACATTTCGAACCACTTGCTTTGTAGAAAGCTGCGTTTTCTATTTTTTGAAAAATGCGTTATTACGGTCCTTGTTCCGTCCGTCCCTCCGTCCGCGTGCGTGTGATGGACGAGATCTTGGCACTGGAAAGTCGTTGGAAGCTCGTCTAGGTCTTCCATATTTTAGTGCAGCGCAAAATTTTCATTTATCCACCAATTTCTTCGGGAAAACGGCACAACATTGACTTACCAAAACTAGATTTTGTGATCTTTTTGTGATACTTCCGTTTTGGTTAATTGGGAGAGAAAAATATGCAATTATGCAAAAATTTCATCGCGGAAACTGCTAGATATTCATGCTCTTGTATCCAAAATTTTGTCAAAAAGATGAACGGAACTACGCGCGTGCGTAATCCCAATTTTTCCTTGTTTATCGTTATACCGCTGGTAGGTGTTATAGAACTGCCTCAAGAAACAATAAAATCACTGGCTAGAAAGAAGAGTTTGGTTTGGGGTTTTACGGTATGAACTATGAAGACAACATTTGCTGAACATCAAAGTAATTTATGCAATTTTTACGATAACTAATATTGTTTTAGTACAGTTCCTGAAGCAAAAATTAAATTTTGATTTGTACTTTGTTGAAATGAAATCTAACATAATAAAAGTCAGTACATCTGCAAAATTTGCTTCGTAAATTAATTTCCGAAACCTCAATCCTGCTTATGCATTATTATTGGCCCATTCGACCGCTGATTATTCCCAAAATATCCGTTTTCCCAGATTTGTCATACTGCCTTCCCAGAAATTGTACCAGATACGGCCGAGTCTATATGAAGTGACCTTAGCACATTTAAACACGTAAACGTCCGCTCCCAAATTCCCTTTTTCGTTACCCATCTCCGACGTCCCGTTCACCCGCAATAAGTTTGATGTTTTGACTCCACCATCAATAAGATCTAATCGGGGGCTACCACATTCTCTTTGTTGGTACACAGTTCCGACGTCCCGCAATTCGAGCTCTAAGAAACTTTTGGGCGCCCTAAGTCCACTACCCCTCTAAGCGCACCGTGCAAAAGGTGATTCATTTCGCCCCTAGGAAAAAAAACCTTCAATAAATTCTTGACTGATTTACGTATTTTATTTGTACAGGGTGTTACATGACCGCACGTAAAAAAATTGGGTGATAGAGGGGATCCAGATAAGAACTTTTTCCAAATAAACCGATGGTCCAACGTGTTTCGTTTGGGAGCCACCCCTAAAGAGGTGGTGAAATTTGGATTTCTTCTTTATTTTTTTTCTCAGCAACCATAACAGTTACAAAGATGGGTGGCACCCTCTATTTGGGGGATTTCGACGAAATTTGGTATCTGGGGGTTTTTGAACATGCAAATGATGGATCTGGAATTAGTTTTTGAAAATTCGAAAAAAAAGTTCCACTGCAATTCTTGGCCGGACAACGAAAATGGGGAGAATTCCACGAAATTTGTTGTGTGCATACTTGATGAGTTAAAGAACAAATTTGTGGAAATTTGAATCGGAGATATCCATGGTGTGATGAGACTCAAAATGGGGTTGTGTATATTAGATACCGAGTTAGATACCAACATAACACAAAACCTTCCACATACTAATTTTAATAAACAAATTAAGGAAGCAGCACTAGTTTCGACCAAAGGTCATCTTCTGGCTTAAGGAGATTACAGAATAAAAGTTATTTAGACATTTAGATGAACACAATGCAAAATTTATAATTTATAGGGAAAAAACGTTGACAATTAAACAATAACATTAAAAAATTCCATAATTGAATGTAATCTTGGTCACATGATGCAAAATACTTGACTTATAACATTTCAGAACATTTCATATAGGAATGTTATTCTTCGGGACTCAAAAACGCGTAACGCATGGCCAGGAGATATCTTTTTTTGGACGGGAATGTCAATGTTTCATAGTTTACCAATGTGCTAATCATTTACTTGCGTTTACCAAGATCCTCATATTTTACCGTGTCCTTGCGCTTAACATGTTACAATCATTGATTTGCTAAAACTGAACAGACTGTATTATGTTATCAAAAATCTCTAAACCTTCCCCATATAGTTTTATTCGTTGAAGTTTTTAAAAATAACAGCGACTATAGTTTCGGCGTACTGCCATCATCAGGCGATGTGAAAGTTAACAGGAAAACGGTAAATTACAAACGTTGAAGACGAACATGTTGTTTTTTTAATAATTAACTGGCCGAAGCCAAGTGAAAAAACCTGAAGGGTGGTTAAAACGGAAAGGTTGTCCTAAGTTTCAAGACGAAATTATTATCAAGCCTTGTTAAGACAACCAACCGGAGGGTTGAATTTTTACATTAAAGGTTGAAAGTTGGGTTAACACATTTCAAAAGAACGGGGGGAAAAAAAGAACTTATAAAAGTATTGAAATCATTTCTAGACATGCCGTCTGCATGATCTCGAATTTAAACTTTACTTAAATAATTTAAATATGTAGTCATCTTAATAGTTTCAATACTTTTATAAGTTCTTTTTTTCCCCCCGTTCTTTTGAAATGTGTTAACCCAACTTTCAACCTTTAATGTAAAAATTCAACCCTCCGGTTGGTTGTCTTAACAAGGCTTGATAATAATTTCGTCTTGAAACTTAGGACAACCTTTCCGTTTTAACCACCCTTCAGGTTTTTTCACTTGGTTTCGGCCAGTTAATTATTAAAAAAACAACATGTTCGTCTTCAACGTTTGTAATTTACCGTTTTCCTGTTAACTTTCACATCGCCTGATGATGGCAGTACGCCGAAACTATAGTCGCTGTTATTTTTAAAAACTTCAACGAATAAAACTATATGGGGAAGGTTTAGAGATTTTTGATAACATAATATATTTCAAGCCCCATTTCGAGGAACGATGGATCCAACTCAAAAAAAATGAACACACTGTATTAAATTAAATATGATAAGGTTTTCTATTAGCCTTCTTCTTGTGTAAGCACGAGCAGTGTTCATGCTAAAAACCTTTAATTTATATGCCTAGTGTGACAGAAATATGATCTTTATTTTGAGTGTACCAAGAAATTATACGTAATTATATAAAATTATATATAGGTAATTCATCCATATCTCTTTCACAAGGATTACTACTTACTATTCAGTTCATTTTTGGTGATCATAGAAATATTTTAGTTGGTTTTAACTGGTTTTAAGACCAGTGTCTTTATTTTCACCACAATGCCTCACACAGTAAAGGAAATGAATCTGCCAGTGTGGAAAAATCGAAATTAACTACAGAGCAAAATTTTTCGTGCCATATGGTGTAAACCATTAGTTTGCTTTGCGTCGTAGGAAAACCGAGAACAGATAAAAAAGAACGCATGGTGTCACGCAAGCCAAATTAAATTCATAAATCTATCATGCAGTCAGAAATAAATAGAGAAGGTTCTCCAGATAAAATTTAAGTATTCCAACAGAACCTAACATCATTTTGACGAAAGAAGATGATTATGACGAAACAAAATCGAGGGATCTACACAGTTATAACACTCATGATTCATGTTTTGGTAAGTTGAGCTCAATTAATTCTATTTACCAATCACCAGTAAAGGCATAGTTTGTTATACCACCAAAGTGCATATTGGTATTACCTCATTGCCTCAAATTCCTACTAAATCAAAACTGTTAATTTTCACTGTTTTAGCAGCATGTTAGGGTAATTAGGCTTAATTGGAAAACAGAGTGTGGGGTTATTTGCGGTATACCTCGACACATTGACAATGATTACTGTTCACAATGAAACAATGGCAAAGTCGCTGTCGCTCACACTTTTGGTTTACGGGGTTGCTAACCATCGTTGATTCATGTCAACAAGAGCGAATGAAAGAATACGGTCGAATTCTCATATAAAATCATTGTACGTATGCCAAGAAATCGCGTACAGAATATCGTCAAGCAACAATTATGCATTCTCGTCTCAAAAATTGTTCATCCTTAAGATACCTTGGAGTTTGTCCATACATTGCATAACAAGAGTAAGTAAACAGTAAAAGATTAAACAAGAAACTAAGGTAATCTCGTTTAAACAGCTTATCAAGGAACGGGTCAATATTTTTCGTGTGCAAATGAGATCCATGTTTACATGCTTATGAAGTAAGCAATTTGACAAAAAAAACAAGTTTTGAAGTACCTACGTTTCATTATTATAATTACTATATTAATATTTAATAGTAACTAACGTTAACAATTATTCAAAATTTAAGATGTATAGATTTTGCATACCATTTTGCTCGAAAAATTTGATTAGTAAAAGTTCCCTCATTGGCTACTATATGAGGAAGGCGTATGCCTGTCAACTTTTACTTTTTTGACTAATATCAGATCATTCCCCACAATGCCAAAGTGAGAACCCATATGTACTAAGGCGAGTAGGTACCGATCTTAAACCTGATGTTTTGCAGGGTACACTACAAAGTGTTAGCACTCAAGGAAGCACAACGGAGGAGTGTCTAACGTATTCCCAAACAACTGAACCGTGTCTTACATACCCCCAAAGTACAACAACATCGGCTCCTACTACTACAACACCGAAACCAACAACGACAACACCGATTCCAACAACCACAACACCGACTCCAACTACCACGCCAGTTCCCACAACTACCACACAGAAACCGACAACAACACCAGTTCCGACGACTACAACGGCAGTTCAAACAACTACAACTCCGGTTCCAACAACCACGACACCGATTCCAACAACTACAACTCCGGTTCCAACAACCACGACACCAGTTCCAACAACCACGACACCAGTTCCAACAACCACGACACCAGTTCCAACAACCACAACACCGGTTCCAACGACTACAACACCAGTTCCAACTACAACTCCAGCTCCAACAACTAAAACACCGGTTCCGTCAACTACAACGCCAGTTCCAACAACTACAACTCCGGTTCCAACAACCACGACACCGATTCCAACAACCAAAACACCGGTTCCAACGACTACAACACCAGTTCGAACTACAACTCCAGCTCCAACAACCAAAACACCGGTTCCATCAACTACAACGCCAGTTCCAACAACTACAACTCCGGTTCCAACAACCACGACACCAGTTCCAACTACCACAACACCGAAACCAACTACGACAACACCGGTTCCAACAACGACAACACCTATTCCAACAACCACTAAGCCAGCTCCAACAACCCCGACACCTGAACCAACAACTACGACTCCTGGACCAAAAACAACTACTTTGCCAACAGCTACATCTTCGCCAAAAACTACTGAAGCTTGTCTTACGTATCCACAGGACACAACAACACCGAATCCTACAACTACAACACCGATTCCAACCACGAAAACGCCAGTTGAAACCACGACAACGCCAGCTCCAACAACAACCACAACACCGATCCCAACAACTACAACACCAGTTCCAACAACAACGCCACCGATCGCAACAACCACCACGCCAAATCCAACAACCACAACACCGATCCCAACAACCACAGCATCGGTTCCAACAACGACAACACCGGAACCAACTACTAAAATACCGGTTAAAACAACCACTACATCAGCACCAACAACTACAACGCCAGATCCAACAACCACAACACAGGAACCAACAACGACAACACAGGCTCCAACAACTACAACGCAAGTTCCAACAACAACACCGGTGCCAGCCACTACAACGCCGGTTGCGCCCACCCCGATACCAACAACTACGACTCCTGTACCAACTACACCTTCAGTAACAATTACAATATCGCCTACAACAACTACTGAAGCTTGTATTACGTATCCACAAGATACAACGACACCGGGACCTACAACTACAACACCAGTTCCAACCACGACAACACCACTTCCAACTACGACAACGCTAGCTCCAACCACAACCACAACACCGATCCCAACAACCACCACGCGAAAACTAACAACCACAACACAGGGACCAATAACCACAACACCGGTTCCAACAACCAAAACACCGGAACCAACTACTACAACACCGGTTCCAACAACCACAACATCAGCTCAAACAACTACAACGCGAGATCCAACAACCAAAACACCGGAACCAACTACTACAACACCGGTTCCGACAACCACAACATCAGATCCAACAACTACAACGCTAGTTCCAACAACAACGCCGGTACCAACAACTACGACTCCTATACCAAACACAACTCCTTCACCAACAACTACATCACCTTCAACAACTTCTGAAGCTTGTATTACTTATCCACAAGATACAACAACACCTGAACCTACAACTACAACACCAGTTCCAACCACGACAACGCCAGCTCCAACAACTACTACAACACCGGAACCAACAACTACAACACCGGTTCCAACCACGACAACACCAGTTCCAACCACAACAACGCCAGCTCCAACAACCACCACAACACCGGAACCAACAACCACAACACCGATCCCAACCACTACCACACCAGTTCCAACAACCACAAAACGGGTACCTACAACCACAACAGCGGTGACCACCCCTACCGAAGAACCAACAGAATCTTGCCCCACGGACCCAGACGGCCAATGTTCAACAACACCTTCTTCTTCTACAACGCAACCGCCAACAACAACCTCTGGTCCAAGCACCACAACACCAAATACACCAACGCCCGTTCAAACAACTACAATATCGACGACAATCACAAAACCGGGACCAACAACCACAACTGCGGTTTCCGTCACTACTGAAGCTACGACAGACGATCCATGTTCGGCTAACACTAAAACCACCGCACAACCCCCTGTCTGTAAGAGTGGCGAGGGAATAATGGATTCTACTTGCGATTCTGTTGAGTTGACAATACACATGGGAGAGACAAACATTACTATGCTTGTGAGTGATTCCACGCTTATCCTGATTCCAGCCGTTGTTGGTACAGGTAACTGTACTGAATCGAAAACACCGACATGTGGAGTTGATCTCTCTTGTAAGTCACCCGTTACCCCCGACCGTTGTGGCTTCAATTGTGATCCAAACGTGGTTTTAAACGTTAAAGGTGGAACTCCAAATTTATTTACAATTCTATCATCCGTCACGGAAAATATCATTGTTTCAGTTAATCCTTTATTAAGTTCAGGTTAGTTGGTTTGGAATTCGGAATATCAGACGCGTTGAATCAACGACAACCTTTTGGAGTGTATCCATATGTCCACCCACTACAGAAATCGATGTCTTATCCATCAACGAGCGGTAACGTGTGCATATCACCTTTTTTTTGCCTCGTGCTGTGCGTGCTAAATTTAGTTAACAACCCAGATTTGTGCCCATACTATAATTTCTCTTTAAATGGTATTTCTCATTTACCGTTTATTAAATGTATTTATTAAGTGGGTGGAGTGAATACAGCCGCTGCATATTGAGTTTCTTTTATATTCATAAGCTGCGTGTATTTGTCACTAAATTTTGCTCAACCTGACTGTATATTGAATATAGTAGCTTTCTCATCGGAAATATGCATCCCAAACCTAACTAGAGCAAAACTATATTATAGCAAAGAGTAAGGTTACTCTCTGATTATGGTACTGCATTTTTGCATGTACAATGTATACGCATGGAATAGATGGCTATCAACTCTACACGAATTCATTTAAAGGATAATCAGCGTCTGCTATGGAAACAGTAACTTGACTATTCAATGTTAAATTAGGGTTAGCCTCTGGGTTAGCTATTAGTCTTTATTTTTATTATTAGCATCAAATTGTGATTTTTTTACACAAAGATGTATAGAAAAGATGATGATGGTAAAATATAAACACGGTAGGAGGGTGGTAATGGTAACAGTTTGCAAAAACAGCTCCAGTTTGTGGCGTGTAATGTTGGTTGCCTACAGTCATTTGTACAATGTCGTGATACATGATTCCGTGCGTTTGATCCGTTTTTTACCACCAGGGGCCCTATTCTCGACAAGTGACTTTCAAATGCGTATGCGCATTTCCATTCGAATGACTAAAGAGCTATTCTCGACCGCTCGTATTCAGTTCGTATACGAATTGAAACCGAATGGTTTACAGCGAGCGGAAATCTGTAGACGCTTTCAAATAAAGTGTACGTTTTAATTTGACAGTTGAAATAAAAATTTGGATAATGGAAGATGTTGTACAATTATTGTTGATAGAGGAGTTAGAGGACATAGAAGTAAGAAATAGACGTGTACATAGACGCCGGTTGGACCCATTTAATGAACTTAGCGATGAGTATTTCATAAAAGTTTTTCGCTTATCTAAAGCATTAGCGCAATTTTTGGTACATCTTCTAAAAGATTACATCGCCCCCGCAAATCGTTCCACTGATTTGGACATAACAACGAAGGTAATTTGAGTATCAATATTTTCAAGGATATATACTACAATAGGTACAATCTTAGTTGAAGCGATTTTTTAAGGTTTTAGTAACGTTGAGATTTCTTGCAAGTGGAAGCTACCAAATGGACGTGGGATCAAATTATTACTTTGGAATATCACAACCTTCAGTATCAAGATGTATTGAAGAAGTTGTCAATGCCATGAACAGAAATGAAATTTTTAACGCTTATGTACATTTCCCTAGAAATATACAAGAACTCAATGCTGCTAGAATGGGGTAGATACATGAATCAATAGTGTGCGGTTGAAAAAACAAATAGCTTTCTAGGTTTTTTGAAAAGTATAATTTCCCAGGAATAATTGGGTGTATAGATTGCACACATGTTGCAATATTCCCCCCTAAAGTGGATGATGATAATTATCCTGAACATATTTATGTGAATAGGAAGAATTATCATTCCATTAATGTACAACTGGTAATCAGAAAAGTGACCAATATTTCTAAATCTAATTGAAACAATGTTTAGATATGTGACCATAATTTGAAGATTATTAATGTGAATGCTTTATTTCCTGGCAGTACTAATGATGCTTTCATTTGGAACCAATCCAATGTGCAAACCCTATTAAGACGATTACACGAGGCCGGAAATAAAAATTATTTCTTGTTAGGTAGGTAGGAATGCTATCACACATAAAGGTTTATTACTTTTAATCTTAGGCGATTCGGGTTACCCATTAAGAAGTTGGCTGTTAACACCTTTAGAATATGAACCACGACCTAATATACCTGAGCACTTCTATAATTCTAGACATAAAACCATACGGAGCACAATCGAAAGATGTAATGGTGTATTAAAAATGAGATTTCGCTGCCTTCTTAAACACAGGGTTTTGCATTACTCCCCCGAGAAAGCCAGTAAAATTATAAACGCCTGTGTTTTGCTGCATAACTTGTGTATTGAGCATAACATAGAAACTCCACAAAATGAGGAAGCCGAACAAATTGATTTGGGCGTGCATGTCCCAGAAAGAAATCATGTTGTTGAGAGAGTAAATCCCGAACTGGCTGCTGGCAGAAACCAAAGAAATAAATTAATTACACTTTTGCAACAATAAATAATCGGCGTTTTTTGTTAAATAATGATTTCTTTTAAGCTAATGTTTTAATAATTGAAAACTATTAACTAATACTTATTTAAAATAAATTGTCTGCTATTGTTTCTAGAGCAGCAGCTATACGTTGTTTAGCAGCAACACCATCCTCTTTAGATACCACCAATCTTTCTAGCAGCGATAATTTCTTTTGATAGTATAATTCTTTCATTTTGAGCTTGGTGTCCATTGTAGCTTTAAAATCTGACACTGCTTTTAAAGTTTGCGCATTTTTAGTTGCTTTTTTTTTAAGGGCACTTTTCGTGCTGAGGTTGATGTCGCTGAGTCGGTAACAGATGTAGATGGTCCTTGTTCATCACATAAAAATTCTTTAGGCATTTCGCCGGCCGGTGAATTTACATATTCCTCCATATGAACATGAACGTCATCAACATTTTCCTCTACTTCTGTAAATTCAACCGTCGATTCCTTTATACCTCAATGTGGCCTTCAACACTAACGGCTTTGACACATTCTAATATACCTTCGTCCACTGGTGTTAATTTATCGTCACATTGAGGGCCTCCGCCTGTTCCACTTGCATGGCGTTTAATTGCGCTTGCTTTTGACTTAGCGCGAGATTTCAAATCTTGCCATGTCTTCAAATAAATGGAATAAGTAATATAAAATGGCATAATGATTTACCACCTTCCTCCAACTCTTCCAGTCCCGCTTTGCCCCGGGGATGCTATTTAACGTGTGTCCTATTTTTTCCCATTCGGTTCGGGCATCTTTATATGTAAACGTGTTAGAAAATTTGCCGCTTTGCAGTTCCCTGTTACTTTTCATCAATTCAACCAACATTTGCTTTTGTTCTGTAGTAATTTGTACATGTTTTTTATGTTTCTCCATAATGATTCAAATGATTTGTAATTTAAAAAATTCGTAGTTCGCACGCAAAGAAATGTCAAATTAAATTACGACAGTGTTGCCATGCCGCTCGTTCGCAAAAATTCCAAGCATACGTTTTGATAAACGAATAGCAGTCAAGAATACCATTTTATGAAAGTACTCGTAAATAAACCCTTCGTTTTCAATTCGAATGGTACGAAAACGAACGGTGTCGAGAATAGCACCCCTGGGGTCGATTTTTGGCCGTATGTTTCCTAAAAACGTATACGTATTCGTAAAGAAACGTATATTTGCAATTTTTGACCATACGTTTATATTGCGTATACGATCAATTGTGTTCGTTTTTCTGAGAGCGGGTAAATGGCGTTCGCAAACGCTCGCAACTGACGTTTTGTGGGTTATGTATTGGTTAGTGTTGAAGTTTTGACTCTTGAGACTTGAAAGGTTTCTACTAAAAACAATGGATGAAGCTGTGAATATGTTTGTAATAGACAATTTAGAGAATGCCGAACGCAATTATCGCCCGTCTTAAATGAAGCACATTTTATCAAAATGTATCAGCTACTTCTTTCCATGAGTCTAGCATTTTCTTGCACGTCAAAATCGTAGTTTGTTTCCCTGCTATTATATCGGGGTGGTTTTTAGCAAACTCTACTAGCCACCCTTTTTGGTTTTGCGTGGTATTGCACCCTCGCTTTGGCGTGTCCATCGTGTATTCAGTATTCATGCTAATCAGTGCCTAAAATATTATTATTCTTTAATTTGAAATGACTGAGCAATATCTTCACCTCACCACCTAAGCTCAAACCCAAACGTCAAATAGTCCGCTTTAGTTCTAATCAATCAATAAAGGCGATGTTGTCATATGCACTGTACGTTTCGGTTCCAGGCAGTTACGAACAGCAGTCAAAAATTGGATTTGGAAAACGTATACGTTTTTAAGTCTTCGCATCATTCGTATACGAATAGATGCGACTGGTTTCAAAAATCGACCCCCAGCACGTTAGTAAGGGAGGTATTGCATTGGGGTAAAAAATGACCCGACGAATCATAGTACCTAACGACATAAAGGTTGTGGACGACCAATACAAAAAGCGCACATTTTTAGTTTTGGGACTAAATCAAACTTAAAACACGGCGGTCAACGAAAACAGAAAACCGACACAGACCATTCTGAAAGCTGCCAAATAAATTATTGACGGAGGCGATGTTTACTCACAAATTAAAATCACTCCCATTATCGAGAACCTACATTAGACCTCATAGTTCATAACTCTAGTTTGTTCTTCTTCGTTGATCCGCCGAATATGAAAAATACAGTGAATTTTATAGCGGTTGTTAGAAATGCAGTATAAAATGTGGGTGGCTTAGTTAAAAAAATAATAGACAGTATTAAAATTTTGTAAAAGTCAATCAAATATATTTCTCAATTACTGAATAAGAACCTGATTTTCTTTGTTTGCAAAACATTGTGGCGACCGTGACAGGACGTGTGTAAATCTATTGGTGGTTTTGCTGTGTAGTACCGGACTTTGACCGTTTGCACAGTAGTAACAAGATTGCATACGCCTAACATCCGACAAGAGATTTGCTGGACAGTTAGTCAGTAATAGTGAGCTTTACGTTGAATTCGTGTTGAACATTCATTGGGTACCAAGTTTAATCGTCATTTCTATTTTTTAGAAAATGGAAGGTCTTAGAAATAAACGTGCGGCGTGTCGCAGTGTAATCACACGCGTAGCTAATAATCTGACATCTCTATTAGCAGATTCGAATAGGGACCCAGTAGAGACAGAAGCTGCATGGGAACAACTTCATGTAAAGATGGATTATTTACGAAAATCTGATGATGAGATAATGGATAAATTATTGGAAGAGGAAACATCAGAAGAAACCATGCTGCAGGAGTTGGAAGGTACCGAAAAATATTTAGCTACGTTTACACAGTTAAAGGTGAGATATCGTAGATTTGTTATTAAGCCATCAGAAGAGGTTAATAGCGATGCTAATAGCGATTTTACTAAACGACAACGCAAAATGAAACTACCCAAAATTGAATTAAAAAAGTTTGACGGGTCAATACGAGACTGGCTGCCGTTTTGGAGTCAGTTCGAAAAAATTCATACTGACGAGACGATTGCATTAGAGGATAAGTTTCAATATTTAATTTTCGCGACTGTGCCGAATTCTAAAGCTAGAGACGTCATCGAAGGTTTTCCTCCAACTGCAGGAAATTATTCTGAAGCAGTTAACCGATTGAAAACGCGTTTCGGCAGAGACGATTTACTCATAGAATTTTACGTTCGAGAGTTGTTGAAACTAGTTTTGCGTAATGACGGTACACATTCTAAAAATGAGATCGCCAGTTTGTATGATAAACTAGAGACTCAAATCCGTTCCTTGCAGACTTTAGGCGTGAATACTGATATGTGTGCGGCCATGTTGTATCCGTTGGTAGAATCGTCTCTGCCAGAAGAATTCTTGCGCGCCTGGCAGCGGTCGTCAGATTTTGCAGCAGCGTCTAGCAATTCTATGAATTCTAGATTAGATAAATTAATGAAATTCTTACGTTCAGAAGTGGAGAATGAAGAGAGGATCACTCTAGCCATCGAAGGTTTTTCATTAAGCAATGATGAAAAATTTAAGAAACCCGGAAGTAAAGTCGAAACTAAGACGAGTACAGCGTCCGGTCTTATTAATTCAGGTATAACCTCTTTTTTTAAGTGCACATTTTGCGATGGGAATCATGCAGCTGAACAATGTTTTAAGTCTCAAAAAATGACATTAGATGAGAAAAAGAAATGTTTAATTGATAAGCGTGCATGTTTTCGTTGTGCAAAAATTGGTCATCAGGGACATAGATGTAAGATCAAGTTAAAATGTGTCTTATGTGGGTCTAGACATATTGTTAATTTGTGTCCTGATCTAGAAAAGCCGAAAAATGCATGTTCAAATACTATGGTTGAGCCAAAGGTTACTTCTGAAGGTAAAATCATACCTAATCTAGCGAATTGTACAGACACATGTGTATTTCTCCAAACATTAGTGGTTAAAATTTATGGGGATTGCGGAGAAAAATGTGTTCGTGCTCTGATTGATACGGGGTCTCAAAGATCGTATGTGTTGAAATCAGTGGTCAACACATTAAAATGTACGCCCAAGAGAATTGAGGCTATTGTACATGCTCTTTTTGGTGGAACCGTTTCAGAAGAACAGGAGCACTGCGTGTATCACTTAAAAGTCGGTAGTTTAGATGACAGTTATATATGTCGTTTTGAGGCACTTGATCAGCAGACGATTTGTAAGAATATCGCTCCGGTCTCTGCAGGCATATGGAATTAAGAGGTAAATCACTTTAACCGACATCGATAATTATTTCGTTATTAATCGGAGCAGACATAGCGGGCAAGATTTTTACTGGGAAAAACCATATCTTGAAATGTGCTATGCAAACGTTATTGGGATGGGTATTGATGGGTAAAACGCCGATAAGAACGAAGATACCTAACGTTTCCATGATGGTTACGAATTTGTTAAGCGCATCGGCGTCTGTTACTGCTTTATGGGAGCTTGATGTTTTGGGAATCGCAGATTCACGTGAAGCTGACGGCAAGTTACAACAAGCTGCTGCACAAGAGTTTTTTAAAGAAACAGTAACCATAACTGAAGAAGGACGTTATGAAATTAAATTTCCTTGGATCGAAGGGCATCCGCCGTTGCCACATAACTACAATATGGCCAAACGACGTTTGGAATTTACTGAAAAGAAACTCAAAACTACGGGGTATCTTAAAGAGTATGACCAAGTATTTTCTGAATGGCAATCTGAAAATATTATAGAACGCGTGCCTGATGTAGAACTAAATATTCAGTCACATTACTTACCTCATCGTCCGGTAATCAAAGATACAAACAGTACGACAAAGATTAGACCCGTTAGACCCGTTTTTGATGCTTCGGCTAAGGAAAAGAATCAACCATCATTAAACGATTGTTTAGAAAAAGACGTTAACTTGATTGAACAGATACCCGACCTGTTGTTGAATTTTCGAAAGGAAAAAATTGGGGTTACTTCGGATATAAAAAAGGCCTTCTTACAAATTAGTGTACACCGAAACGAT